CTGTTTTTTTTTAAAAACTCACCAACTGTGGATAAATGTACACTGAAGGGACACAGCTCCCTTAAGATGTTCTATGCCTTACTACCACCAAGAGCAAACAAAGGTTCAACCCAGGGCAGCAAATACACAAAGGACCATTTCCAGTGTCACAAGGAACTTCTCCCTACAAGTCCGGACATGAGCAACCTCCTATTAAGAGACATCTACACACAGTAGCACTGAGTGGCCTCAGTCAGAAGGAAGCTGTTGTCTCCAAGAAAAAGTAGGTTGGGTCCACAACCATGAACCAATTCCCCTTTCACACCAGTTGGAGGGCATGGGCTAGTTCAGAACTGCTCATTATACCTTCAGGGTAATGATACGTACTGCTACAGCTGTCCCACACTGGCCTTTTCAAACAGCAGTGCTATCAGCCCTCGCTGTGATCCTTCTCTTAGAGGATCATATTGTAGTAATGAGCTTGTGAAGCCTGAACAAAGGCTGGTGTTGAAGCAGCAGCCATGCCAGTAATCAGCTGAACTGCAATACCTTTACAAGCTGTCACTTAAACTGCTGTATGAAAACCCCATGAGTGCTCCAGTCTGATCAATAGCTACCAGGTAAGAAATAAGCTATGTATCTTTGGGACTACATGTTTTGCTTTAGGCTTCTGATTGATTTGTGATGATTTCCTGTGCCTTAAAACCATCAACAAAAGTGCAAATTAAAGATGAATGCTTTGCTCAAACATTTGCCATCATGTAAGAGCAGAAGATGTTCCTTGTTTTTACGGTCAAATACATCTCAGCTTTGAGAGTACACAGAGGCTTGAAACCCTTAGCTCTTCAAAGCTCATTCCCTGCCCATTTCCTACAATCTCAGAGTAACAAATAGTAAGCTGATATTCCTCATTGTAAAGATGTATCTTACTGTAGTTTCTACAATCACTGTCACTTGATTCGGATTTTCAGCCTGAAGAGATGCTGTGGATGGCACTAGGGTCTGCAAACTGGAGGCACATGGTAAGTTACCTTCTGTAATGAGTATCAAATAGACCCCATTAATTCCTGCAACTGATCACCTACACTTATAGTATACAAGCAATTTGGCATTACTGCAGTTATTTTTCAAGAAATCTTGTTATGCTCTGAAATACTACCAAGAGGAATTAGATGATGAGCTTTTCAGGCAGATATCAGCTTTTATCTTCCATAAGCAAAATTTGCAACTGAACTCCTGCCAAAACTAAAATTTTACACTTAACAGAAGGGATAGTGTATGTTGCTGCCTGAATTAATCTCTGTTCTTTAAGATTCAGCAAAGCATAATTACACATGAGCAATATAACATATTTAAGCACGTCTATGTGTTTTGCTGAATCAAGAGGTTCCACTGGTGTTAGGGCTGAGATTTGAATCTACATTTAAAAACCATCCTAAAAAGCTTCATTTGCTTTCTGTAAGAGATTGTGGATAAAGATCTGCATTGAACTACTCGATCCTAGGAAACCAGACTGCTTTGGCTTTTACACTACCTGAAGAGAATTATCAGGCCTCTGAAAAAGCTATCTGAGGAGCATGGCTTTTTGCAGAAAGCAACAGGGGTTTACACAGAGATGTAATAAAAAATTAACTGACAGAGCAAAGTTCTAAAATGGTGTTATGGGAGCAAGGCTCAACTATCCAAAGCCCACGGAACACATACAGAGCCAGAAATGCAGCACATAAAATATGCCTGCTAGGTCATTTACACTTTTCCTTTCTATTCTGATCTCAGCTCACTGGCAAGATTTCCTTTTTTTTTAAGGACATCCTGTACAACTCTGAATTAACGTATTACTGAGTTTTATCCCCAAAATTCTCAGAACTTAGAAGACAATTAAGAGATTTACCATCCGAGCATTTACAAAAACTTCTAAAGGGGACATAAGTTTCCTGATTATTTACTGTATCTCTGGAGCATTTCCTCATCTTTCTTCATTTGTGTTTCAAGAGCTAACCATCACCGCTGCAGATGAATCCATCCTTTGCATCCTCATACTTCTATGCTAGCAAGGCTGGAGTCTTCACAGAAATGCCTGCATCTGTAAGTGTATTTTAGGTTAACTCTTTAACTACAAGCAACACAAACTCTCCAGCAATGGTGGGAGTTGAAAAGGACAGCACTGGGGCAAGCGCTACATACTCCCCAGAAGGTGCAGGATGGCCCATTCTGTCACACACTGCCCTTTTCAACCAGGGAACTCTGATAGGTGGCACCTGGAACTGAAACCAAAGCTAGAGAAGTGACCAAGAAGGGACTCTGACTCGGGCAAAATTTCCTATTGAGGGTCCCTTCCCACTTCTCTACATCACTGAATTTGTCTTTGCTGAGTTGAGAATTCTCACTTCTGCATGATGAAATGAGGTCCTTGGAACTCCCATCACTCATTATCACATTTCAGCCTGAGTGGTCTCCAAACCACAAGTTTTCCCAAGGATCTGAAATATTTTTTTAATTTTGCTGGTTAAATATTTGGCCCTTACCTAAATCAAACGTCTTCAGGTACAGAATTTTTCCTCTTCAGCTACTGCCTTTTACTTTCTAGATCTGTTATATTGAAAGTAAGACCGATAACTGATGAAGGACAGTTTGGATCCCTTTTGTTATTTGGGAAATAAAGAAAGGCAAGCCTGCACTCTTACTCTGTCCCAGATTTCTAAGTTGTATTGGGTTTAGCGTGGCAAGGTGTTGATAAGACCGGCTTTGGTGGGGACCTGGTGTCCCGCTGGGGTCAACTTAAAACACTTTCCAGAGGGATATTTGGTCTTAATTTGAAAACAACAAAGAACAGAGAATCTAACACTTCTTTTGCTTTTTCATTCCAGCAGTTAATCCTCCTCAAAAACTGTCTTTGATTTCCTATTTGACTTGTGTAATTTCAGCCTCCAGAAAAGATCTCTCATGTTTGCGACTAATACACGAGACCACTTTCTAATGCTGTTTAATGGTAAAAGTATCGACAAGCTCCAGCCACATGTCCCTCCCATAATTTGCCCATACACAGGGCTCTCACAATTAGCTTGCCTCCTCCCTTTTAATACTCTATGTCACTCTGCCACATTAGCAGCACACCCCTCATTTCAGTGCCTAACATAAGAAAGTCCCCGCACGTTCCCCTTTCAATGGGATTGTACCAGAGGCTGCAGGCAGAAGGAAATCCAAGCCCTCACTTGTGAAATATCCTGGTGAATGACAGCCGGGCCCTCCAGCCCACAAGCAGTACAGCAAGAAGCTTGGAAGACCAACCTGGAACACCATTTCCTCATGTGTGTGTGTGACTCATGGGAAGCACTGTGAATCATGAAATTCCGCTGGCATTGTGAGGTGGGCAAAACTATGCTCCCAACAGACATGTCTCAAGTCGCCCTGTCGTAGATGTACACTGGCCACACACACCTTGCTAGAACAGTCAGAAGAGCTTGTTGTCCTTTTGAATAACAAAGTTGGGTTTGTATTTTTCTCTTAAAATACATTCCTTGGCCCTTACACAATCTTCTGAGGAACAGAATGACCTGTGTACAGATCTCTGTGGTAGCAAGCTTGTATCCTGATTACTTAAATAAAACACATCTGCCCCAGAGAAGAAGCTGAAATTCACCCATACAATTAGGTTAGGCTAATGTTGGCAATGAGTGGATAGATATTATCTGATACCATATTTTGTAATCCTCTGCTAAACAGGATGCTGTTCACTCTGGGAGCCAACAAAATAGCTTGCTCGTTCACTGTCAGACTTGAGAAAAGTCAAGAGCGATCCCTGAAGGTTTCAGATGAGTTTACTCTAGAACTTGCTAATGCTCCAGAGTCATTTATAAAGGTCACTAAATTCTATGTTCAGGTTACAGGTTTCTTTAAACTAATATTTATCTGTACAAATCTCAGGAGAAAAGACAACATTTCTCCTTTCATAAGTCAACTTTACAATAGTCTTTTCATTATCAACTTATTTGGTTCTATGACAATAATCTTTTACTCTTTTTCTAATCCTTAATTAATCCTTTTTATAAACAATGTACACTTGGCATATTCTACTCAGAGTAAATCTTTTTCTGTGTATATGCGTCGCAACAAGATCTTCAACATCCAGGCAAATGCTTTCAGAAATTAGGTACCTAAATAAATGGGTGGACGTATCAAGAAAAATTACCTGACTCATGAAAACTGAGCTCTCATACTTCCCTTGAACTTGTGCAAATTTGTGAGCTCTCAGCAGCTACAGACAATACACTGAGGAAGATTCCAACTGAAATTCACAATGCTTGACTGAAAGCAAACACTTCAGAAAGTGCTGCCCTGAATTTTCCAAGTCCTGTTTTCCCTGACAAAACCATGACTTCCCCAAATCACATACGGAATAGATCACTTTCAGATGCATTCAGGTTTGAAGAGAAACCTAAAAGGCTCCCAAGAACAGCAAAGAGCAACTAGCGATAAACCCGCAAGTTTTCTCCTGCAAAATGAAATAGCTTAAAGTATTTCAACATGCAGTTTCTATTTGTTTTTACTGCATTCAAACGTAAGAGAACAATTTTGAGCATTAGGTATACACAGAAATGACAAATATATGTGCTTGGCTAGAGTTACATTTGGAAATAGGAAGTGAGGGAAAATACAGTTTTGGCTGCACAAGTTTTACTGTTTTTCTATAAAAATGATAAATGCACGTTACAGTTCTGTAAACACAAGTGATCTGAAGTATGTAGTGCTTCATGATCTGGCTTCAATGGCCAGGTTGAAGCCATTTTGTAAATGCAGGCCTTAAACTAACCAAATACTATTTTTCTGGGCTGTTGCATTAGGAAAATGCCATTGAACACTTACAGATGGCAAATAGAAAACAACTTCTGAAGCTGGAGTCTTGCGTGGGAATTTTGCCTCAAGAGCAGGCAAGATGAGGTTTCACTCTGCATACTTGTTGCTAAAGGAATATATATTACAAAATAAAGCCACTTAATAAGGCTATGGTAGATCTAACTTACCACAAGAGCAGCATGTGAAGCAGTTGGTATGATATAGGTTACCCATTGCTTGGCAAGCCTGGCTCGCTCCATACACACCTTTTCCACACTTTATACAAATACCTATAAAGGAAAAAGAATGAAAGTTAGAACTCTCCACTGCTCCAGGCCATTGATTCATATCACTCGTGATACCCCCCCCCCGCCCCCCATCAGGCCCTAAATCAATGGGATCCTCACCCTGAACAGATTCAAGTACACCAGACAGCAGCAGATGGCTTTAGTGAAACAGACACATGGAAATTCACCCAAAATAAAAGGGAGGGAAGCCTCTGCTGGTGTTTCTATCCACGAAGGCTGAGGCTGGCTAAAGACAGAAATCCAAAGGAGGCAGGTGTAACGAGAGAGGACAGAAAAAAAACACACACTCTCCAGAAATAACTCCATTTGCCCAAGAAATGATTTCACCTTCACAAGTAGATGCTCCATCACATTACATTCAATAATCACTAATAATACAACAATCCAGTCCAAACCCAAAAGACTTCTCTTTGCCCCTCTCCAGCAAGGCAACACCAAGAGCACTGGTCCATGTTGAAAGCCATGCAGCACCAGAAAAACGGGCCTGTCAGTCACATTTGAGAATTGTTTAACTCTCCACAGTTACATTAGATAGTAGTATCTAACCACATAAACATAACCTGGCACCTTACAAAACAGAAGAGCAAGGGTTCTATCTTCCTAAGGGAAAAAATACTGCCTGGCAGTTTTGCTTCAGTGGGGTCAGAAATTCACCTTCGCTGCCCAAGCCTGCTCTTGATGCTGCTGGGGATGACTCTCATGAAGCTCTCATGAGACCAAAGTACGAAGAACCAGAGCAGCACTCGTAAAGTTGGTGGTTACCTCCAAGCACAGCCAGCTAATAGGAAAGGTCATGATTTCAATAATCTCTCTAGAAGAGGGATTTAGGAGTGGTTATTTGTTCCATTTTAAAAAGCTTTTTCCTCATAGTTGCAGCTTTAAGAGTCTTTTGCCTATGCATTTATTTCTATCTATACATAACCTTCCTAAAATAAAACCAGGGCAGCCAGATAACTCAAAAGTCACTGCTTCTGTATCCTCATGAAGAGGAAATGGAATGCTGGAGGAGAATCATGTCTTTCTGTCACATAATCAGGACTACTGATTGTAAATTCTTCCAAGATGTCCATTGGTCTCTATTTGACCATAGCAGGACAGTACATCCCAAGACAAGGCTGTGTGATTTTTCTAAAATTTTTCTAAAATTGAGATTCTGCCTCACACAACTTTGTAATGATCCATGTGCTTGAGGGTCTCTTTCTACAAATACACTCATGAGCTTAGCATTAATCACTAGCATCAACAAGACGGCTAATACACTTTCAGAGTCTAGGAACTTGAGAATTACAAAATTTGGCTTTAATAATCCAAAATTCTCCCCTGCTGTGCTGTGAACATTTTATACAGACACACACAGAGAAAATACAAATGCAACCTCTTTGGGGGTAAATTAGCATATTATGAAGTGGTAGAAATTTTAATAGCAGAAAAACCAGAGTTAAGCTAACAAAGCATTTGGTGCCTTCATTGAGTTTCTATGGGTTTTGTTTTTTTTTCACTACCAGTATACAAACTGGCATAAGCAGTACATTAGTACTCTCTGCCTGAAACAGTTCCTATGCAGTAGTTCTTATGTACAATTATATGGTGGGTTGAACCTGACCAGACACTCCCAGAGCAGCTCTGATCAGTCTCCTCCTCAACTGGACAGGGGAGAGAAAATATAGCAAAAGGTTTGTGGGTCAAGATAAGGGCAGGGAGAGATCACTCACCAATTACCACCATGGGCAAAACAGACATCAGTTTGGGAAATTAGTTTAATTTATTACCAATCAAAACAGATTAGAGTGATGAGAAATAAAACCAGACCTTAAAAACACCTTTCCTTCACCCCTCCCTTCTTCCTCAGGTTAACTTTACTCCCAAACTCTCCCCCTCCTCCCTGCCTCCAGCACTGCAGGGGGATGTGGAATGGGGGTTGCAGCCAATTCATCACGTCTCTGCTACTCCTTCTTCCTCAGGGGAGAACTCTTGATGCTCTTCCCCTGCTTCAGTGTGGGGTCTCTCCCATGGAAGACAGTCCTCCATGAACTTCTACAACATGAGCCCTTCGCACGGGCTGCAGTTCTTCATGAACGGCTCCAGCGTGGGTCCCCTCCACGGGGTGCAGTCCTTCAGGCACAGACTGCTCCAGCATGGGTCCCCCATGGGGTCACCAGTCCTGAGAGCTAACCTGCTCCAGCCTGGGTATCTCCTTCCTCACTCAACTTGGTGTCTGCAGAGCTGTTTCTCTCATATTCTCATTCCTCTCTCTGGGTGCAGGTGTGCAGGTTTTTTTTACCCTTCTTAAATGTGTTATCCCAGAGGAACTACCACCGTTGCTGATGAGCTCAGCCTTGGCCAGCAGAGGGTCCATCTTGGAGACAACTGGTGTTGGCTCTATCAGACCCAGGGGAAGCTTCCAGTGGCTTCTCACAGAAGCCACCCCTGTATCCCTCCCACTACCAAACCCATGCCACATAAACCTAATGCAACGCCATTTCCAAAACTGAGCTGTTTCAGTTCAGTGTAGCATTAACACAGCCACCTGTATGGGCTGTGTAGTGTGATCAGTTTAATCAGGATAGTGTCAACTGAAAAACATATTACATTTGAAGAAAAGAATTTTCCTATACTATTAATTCAAATGTGGAAATGAAAGGTTTTTCTTTAAATCACAGGTTTCTTGGTGTTTATACCTTTAGCTCCCTCATTTCATATCACAGGGAGATTAATTAACCTTTCACTCAATTAGCTCAGCACAATGTTGTCATTTTGGACTCTAAGCATATTTGCCACATGAAACTGTAATTTTGAAAAACAACAACAATTTTAAAATCTTAAACCTGATGTCAGTGTTTCCATGAAGCAGGAACTACAATATTATCAGGCACCAATGTTCCAAGCTAAACCTGTAATACAAATTCGCTGCCAACTAAATCCATCAGTTCATTCCATATACAGTGCTAAGAAAACGCTGATCCTGAGGGTAGCTCAACTCTGATCCAGCAAATGGGAATTTCAGAAAATTTCTTGTCTTATCCAAGGCTGTTATGTCTATTTATTTTTTTTGTAACCAAAGGTTATGAAAAACGTGTGCTATCTGCTGTGAGTTAATGGTTAGCTGCTGCTTAAAGATGGTTATTGATTACTGTAGATACTGTGATCAGAAAAAGTGCCCCATCAGCCAGCAGCTGCAAGAATTACTCCCAGCAGCAGCACAGCATCCATGAACCTGCCCTCTGTCTTACCATGAATTCTGCAATGGTCCCTCCTGAACCTGTGAACAGAAGGGGTTGCATGCACAACGACCATGAGAACATGGGGGTTCACATCTGAAACAAGCAATCTGTTACTTCAGTGTCAGGTCTTGATATGAGATTCAGTTAACTCTTGGCAATAGAGACAGAAGAAACCCCTTTGGAGCGCCCTACTTATCTCCACCCTTGTTGCCTGTCTTTTCATGCCAAACATACCCAGGACTGGCAGCTATTAGTCTGTCCAACTGTGAGGTTACACCAGGAGATCTACCCTTTCCCATATACACTTAGTATTACTCAAAGAGCAGCAGAAATCCAGTCTGTAACTCCCTTGCATCTCTGTCTATAAGCTCTCATGCTCAAATCTGCCATGAACTGCTTTGATAAATGAAATTATTGCCTCATTTCTTTGCCATTGCTCCACTCAACCATCAGAAGCAAAAGAAGGATTTATTGTGAATGTTAAATTTACACTGGCCTCTCCAGCAAGTGATTTGTTAGGAGCAGCTGTCAGTTTGTTAACTCATTTTCTCTAAGAGACTAGTCATTAACTCCAGGAATGAATGACCACAGAGACGATTAGCATACTAAGAAAATGTATGTATAATTCCAAAAGTGTATTTTGGAAAACATATATGCAGCTGTGGTGTGAGTATAGTGTGAGCTCATAACTGCCTAGGAAAAGCACTGATTACATGGCTGCTCTGGTCTGATTTTCTACCAGTCACAGCCCAGACTGCAAGCTTGTGAAAGCCCTGACATAACAGCCACATCAGTTTTTTTTTTTCCAGATTTAATTCCAAAGCTTGTTAAACTGCCTATGAAGAATGTTCTGTTACAGAGCAGCATGTCTCGTTTGTGACACTTCACTTGACATGATTTCAGATCAACCCTTTCAGCCTCTATACAATTCCTTGCCCCTCCCCAACACCACTATTCTAAGCAGCCAAATGTGCCTCCATTTTTTTAACACATCAAATACTGCATTTCCACCTAAAGGCATCAGCTCTCCTACAGATCTGGTTTCTCTCTTTAGCTAGAAAAAGATGTTGCATGTACCCAAAGTTTGCACAAAGATTGGCTGAGCAAGGAGCACAGCGTCACAGCATTCCTTCCCTGCAGCGAAAAGACTTTTGCATCCTCATGCAGTGTTTAACCAAACATGAGAGTAGAGACTGAACAAACTCCGCACACCATGGCAAAAGACCACCGCAAAAACAACACTAGAAAGAGAAGAAGCTCCCAGAGATTCCCTGCTGGAGTCAGCCGCAGAACACTGCCAGTGCTCCCCACACATTTAAGCAATCCACCTCACTGAGCCTGACCATGTCAGTCAGAACATCATCTCTGGATGCAAGCCAGGCAAGCCTCCAGCACTGTACGGCAACACAGTCGTCAGAAGCATGATGCTCTGGGTAACTCATGCATCAACAAGAGCTAATATCAGCACTGGGAGAAAATACGATGGGTATCTTCTGGTGTAGTCAGTGATTTTGCTCCAGACCCAAGAGCATGCAATGCGTTCTAGCAAGTAAAACTATCAGCAACAATCCAGAGAGGATATTAAAGCTATGTGATTTTTGGTCAGCCTGCTATAACATACTTAGAAGAGTTCCCTGTAGTAGCCTACACATCAGAAGATCTATCTGAGACCTGTACATCAAATTCTGGGACGCTCTTTTGACCATGCCAGTACAGGCTGGCACTTCATACAGACTTCCAAGTAGCCAGAATTAGGGAAAA